CTGGGTGCGAGGCTCGGCCGCTGAGGCTGGGAGGGGCTGGTCCCTGCACCCCGTCCAGCCTGTGCTTTGTGACATCTGTTTGTCTACCCAGAGGCTTGTTTTTGCTTGAGATCTGCTGCCTGTGCCACCAACGGTCTGGGCTGCTAAGATTGGATGGAAGCCACCCGAGTGACAGAGGACTGCTCTAACTGGCTTTGACTTCCCGGGTACTGCAGACACAGTATTTCTTCAGAAATTGTCCTCTTCCCTGCCCCTCGCTGCTAATAATGTTTTGTGGCTTGGTATTCCAGTTGCTGAATTTCTCTCTCAAAATATTTTAGCTTGCTTCTCCCAGATGCCCAGCTGACGTCCCCAAGTACATCATAAATCTCCAGTCCAGGTCTCCTGCTCTTATAGATCATCCTCATGCACTGATCACAGCGCGCAGTATGAACTCTCCGCTGGTTAATGTCACTCGCGTGTTTGTAACATAGCCTTCAGCTGCAGGGATATCAAGATAAATCATTGTTTAGAACTTGTTAGCTGAGACAGCCACGGCCCTTAGCGTGACCCCTTTATTTTATGGGTGAGTACCACAAAGCCCAGGAGCGTAGGTGACTTTCTCAAGGCCACACAGTCAGAAATTACCTGACTTAATTGGGACTAGTATCCAGATTTTTTGTTTTTCACTTCAGTACTCTAACTCACTGAAAGCTTTTTCTTTTTTTTTTAATTAAAAAAATTTTTTTAACTTAAAAATAATCGTGGTAAAATATGCATAACAAAATCTACCTTCTTAACCATTTTTAAGTGTCCAATTCAGCAGTACTAAGTACACTCACATTGTTGTGCAACCGTCACCACCACCCATCTCCAGAACTTTTTCATCTTCCCTGACTGAAACTCTGTACCCATCAGACACTAACTCTTCATTTCTCCCTCCCTCAGTCTCTGTTCTATTTTCTGTCTTTATGAATTTGACTACTCTGTGTACCTCATATAAATGGAACCATACAGTATTTATCTTTTTCTGTGATGGCTTATTTCACTTAGTATAATGTCCTCAAGGTTCATCCATGTTGTAGCATGTGTCAGAATCTCCTTCCTTTTTATGGCTGAATAATATTCCGCTGTATGGCTATACCACATTTTGTTCATCCATTCATCTGTCAATGGACACTTGGGTGCTCCCAGCTTCTGGCTATTGTGAGCAATGCTGCTATGAACATGAGTGCACAACTATCTGTTTGCCAAAAGCTATGCCTTATGTAAATTTTTATATTTAGAGGCACTTGCTGCTGCCTATTATTGCTACTGGTATATTTTTTTCTATTGGGAAGTTTGGAAGATACAAAAAAGCACAATGAAGAATATAAAAGTCATTGATTTTTTTGTGCTATATATTCTGAGGATTTCGTATTCATGTTGCCCATAATTTTAACAGTTTTATACAGACTGAGAGAGAATTTTGACAGGTAGGCCAATCTGTGTAGTAGGGAGAACACTTGAAATATATTTAGGTTAAAAAATATTTGAGACAGAGAGCATGAAAACTGAGTGTGACCTTGGCCAATCCTGGCATTTTAGAGATGAGTTCATTCCAACTATGAGTTTACCTTAACAGTGCTACAGAGGGAAGTCTTGGTGGTGACGCCTCTTTAAGACCCCTTTAACATCTTAATAGAGTGTCTAAGCGCTAAGAAGAGTTGGCATTTTGAATGGGGATCTTTTCCAGTCACGTTTCTCAAATATCCACTAGGGGGCAGTAAAAGACACATAAATTTTTCAATGGGGCGCTGAGCATCGAGCAATCAGACCCCTACATCCTCTCTCTCTCTTTCAGCCATCCGTGCATACAGTCACAAGGTAATGGATTTCACATCCAACAGCAGGTTAGGGGAAGACAGGAGATACCATCAGCTGTAGCGTAAGTGCTGGTCTTCATCGTGTTCAGGTTAACATCAGTGCATCAAACTTCATTCACTATGTTGGCCCCAGATTGTATTTTTATTTAATTCACATTAGTCCAGTGATTCTCGAACAGAGTAAACATCAGAATCACCCATCATGCTTTTTCCAAAATACACATGCCCAGGTCTCATCCCAGATCTGTTAAATCAGAATTTCTGAGGCTGGAGCCTAGTTATATAGTCTCTATTTAGATTCTGGTCCATGACTTCTTGCTAAGAACCAGTGTATTAGTTCTTAACTTTAATAACTTTAATAACTCAGGGGAAAGGGTCACCCTTGAGTAAAACCTCAGAGGAGAGTACATATGAATTCTGGAAAATCTTTTTCCCTTTTAAAAGTGGAAGTCGTTGAAGGGTCTGATGGCTCTGGGAAGGACATTGGGCATAGCTGGGGGCTTTCCCGTAGATTGTGCCTCTATTGTAACAAGCCAGGAACCTGGACAAAGCTCTGGAACTGGGGGCAATCCTGGCAAACTCTGGATCTACCATTATAGATCCAAGAAGGCCATACTGAGGGGCCAAACTCTTCAGAGTGAGGCCAGGGCTCAGATACCAATACTGTCTGTTATATTAAGAGAATCTTTCCTGTAGTATCCAGGAAAAAGAGAGCTGTAATTTTATCTTATCACAGGTAAAAATGACACAGAACCTGTGGTGACATCAGAAGATCTCTGTTCTCATCCTGGCCATCCCACTAGCCAGTTATGAGACCCAAGGCAAGTCATGTCACCTCTCAGAATCTCAGCTTCCCCGTGTGAATTATGGGAGGATTGGATGATGCTGATCTCCAAAAATCCTTCCAGTTCTAAAAAGGCAGTGACTCTATTAGTATTAATAATCTTGATTTGTATGGTACTACTCTGGCAAAGAGCACAAGAAATATTCTGTAATGCAACGAATGACAGAGACTATTGACCATGTAGTTTAATTTATTTAAGGCATATACACTGAATTCAAAGGAGAAAATATTGCTCCCGATAATATATTGAACTGTTAGTATCTTCAGCATAGCAAAATCTTTCCAGAGGGAAAAATTACCCATCGGTGCAAACCTGACATTTTTCACTTCCTGATCCATAACTGCCATTTCTCCAGCACGCTTATATTTACTGTAAAGGGCCAAATGTATGAATGCTGTGGATGAATATTAAATAACTACATAAACGTCAAGGTCACAGTTCCAAGAAAGGCTCAGTGGAGGGCCCTGGGAGGCTTGCATTGATCTCTTGTGAAGTTCCGTTCTCGAATCCTGCTGACAAGGGGAAACAATTGATGTGGACCATTATTAAGGCTTTAAGTGTTTCTCCGTCGTTAAAGATCTTTTACAAGCCCGGAGTAACTGATAGTGCCCAAGGAATTGGCAAAAGCTTCACTTAGAAATATAGGCTGGTCAGAGAGATCAGTCAAACCGAGAGTGCAGACGCCCTGGGTTGGGGCCTGCTCTGAGTTACAGAGTTCAGAACGGAAGGAAGACAGGCCTGTTCTCCTGCTCTTTCAAGCCACAAGCTGCAGAGAGAGTGGCTCTCTCTTGCAAATCCACCTTTACATTTCCTCCGGCTTCCCGCCCCCGGGGGAAACCTCCTCTCCTGCCATCCAATCCCTCTGTTCTCCAGAGCTGCACGAAGGATCTGACAAACGTCTGGGGGAAGTGGGCATGTATGAATGATGCAGACCCAGCGATCCAGACTGTCTGGGCTGGTCAAGTGCCCCAGACAATTATGTGAGTGTCCTGCTGACCTGGAGCTGGGAGGAGAACAAATATTATGGACAGAATCTAGTCTCAAAAAGATCTCAACAGACTGAAGGATTGGCCAGGTCTACTAGATGAACCTCATGAGAGATGTTAATGTAAAACTAACATTTGCCGTGCCCTAGCTCTGTGTTAGGTATTGTGCTTAGCTCTTTGCACATTTTAGTTTATTTCTTCTTCTTCTTTTTTTTTTTTGCTGTGGAAGATTAGCCTTGAGCTAACATCTGTGCTAATCTTCCTCTACTTTATATGTGGGTTACCGCCATAGTGTGTCTGACATATGGTGTATGTCCGCGCCTGGGATCCGAACCCAAGAACCCGGACCGCCAAAGCGGAACACGCCCAACTTAACCACTATGCCACGGGGCCAGCCCCTAGTTTATTTCTTCTTTATCATGACCCAGGGAGGGTAGGTTTTTATCTCCCCATTTTTAAGATGAGGAAACCGAGACGTGGTGGTCCAGAGGAAGATGCAAGCACTTTAGAGCCCTTGATCTGGATTCCAATCCCAATTCTGCCCTCAGTTAGCTGACAAGTTACTTCATCTAAAAAATAGCACTAGCCAGGCTTGATGGCTGCCTTTTATGAGTCAGTTTCTGTGTGCTTAGCTCTTTGCATTTTTTATCATGTTTTTTTGGTGTGTGTGTGAGGAAGATCAGCCCTGAGCTAACACCCATGCCAATCCTCCTCTTTTTGCTGAGGAAGATTGGCCCTGGGCTAACACCCGTCCCGATCTTCCTCCACTTTATATGGGACGCCGCCACAGCATGGCCTGACAAGCGGTGCGTCAGTGCGTGCCCAGGATCCAAAGCCAGCCCGCCAGCAGCGGAGTGCGCGCACTTAACCGCTCTGCCACGGGACCGGTCCCCTATTATCATGTTTGATCCTCAGAATAATCTTACTCCTATTTTACAGATGAGGAGGGTACAGATAACCTAAGTAACTTGACCAAGGTCACACAGTAAGTAACAGGGCCAGGATTTGAGCCCAGGCAGTCTGACTCCCATGCCCACACTCTTATCAACTGCTGCACCCTCTCCATTTCCTAGATTATTAAAAGAGAAACACTGTACAGATGAGATAACTTACGTAAAGTGCCCAAGATAGTACCTAGTGCATAGTAGGCACTCATCAATGCTACTAGATCATTATGGTCATCATCGTCATTGGTTAAATGACTCACTCGTATAGGCAGGGCCAATTTTGTCACTCATTAACCAAATGTTTGCCAAGGTCCTGCTCTGCCTTGGGGGTCCAGAGGGGAAAAAACCACAATGCTAACCATTCTTTCTTCCCCCCAGGTTCGAATGGTGAAAGATGGTGACCCCTCCTGGAAGCCCACTTTTATTGTGAAACCTGATGGTGGTTGTCAGGGTGACGGAATCTACCTCATTAAAGACCCCAGTGACATCCGCCTGGCAGGGACCCTCCAGAGCAGGCCGGCAGTGGTCCAGGAATACATCTGCAAACCTCTCCTTATCGACAAGCTCAAGTTCGATATTCGTCTGTATGTCTTACTAAAGTCCTTAGATCCCCTAGAGATTTATATAGCCAAAGATGGACTCTCTAGATTTTGTACTGAGCCATATCAGGAGCCCACCCCCAAAAACCTACACCACATCTTTATGCACTTAACCAACTACTCACTGAACATCCACAGCGGTAACTTTGTCCATTCGGACAGTACTAGCACAGGCAGCAAAAGGACTTTCTCGAGCATTCTTTGTAGGTTGTCCTCCAAAGGTGTTGACATCAAGAAGGTCTGGTCTGATATCATCTCCTTGGTGATTAAGACTGTCATTGCCCTGACTCCAGAGCTCAAAGTTTTCTACCAGTCGGACATCCCTGCAGGGAGGCCGGGGCCCACGTGCTTCCAGGTAACCACTGCTAGTTCCCAGCCTGAGTTCTCAATCTTGGCGGGGCCTATAGGGAGCTCCCTGGCCTCATGTGGGGTGAGGGATGGAATGGGATGGCCAGAGTGGGGAGGGGTGGCTGTTGGCGTTAAACCAGGGTCCGACTTCCAGTTTTTGATTTGCTAGCTGTGTGATTTGGGCAAGTTACTTCCCTTTTCTTATCTGTAAAATGAGACTACTAGTACCTTTCTTAAAGGATCCTTGTAAGAATTAAATGAGATAACGTATGTAAAGCCCAGTGCCTGCCATTCATTTATTCATTTTTTCCTCCAGTAAATTTTACCACCTGCCTAGTAGGGGCCAGGCACTGTCCAAGGTCCTAGTGAGACAGCATGTCAGGTCCCCGCTGGCTGATGCAGAGTCTACTATCGTGGGAGACAAATAATTTAAAAAGCAATTAGTATACAGTGTCACAAGCACTAGAATGGAGCAAGAAAATTACTGGGAGCGTGAGATTGTGGGACCATCCAGCATTTTCTGAGTGGGAGTGAGGGTGGTCTGGGAAGCCTTCCCAGAAGAAGCGGCAGTTAAACTGGAACCTGAAATACAAATTAGATGAAGCAGGTGAGACTGGATAGGTCTGGGGGAGACAAAGTGTTCTAGGGGGAGACGTGTTTGCAGCCCTAGGGGTAAGAGGGGAGCATGAAGTGTTCGAGGAACTGAAAGAGGTTCCATATGGTTGGAGGGTGGGGTTTGAGGCAGAGAGGTGGAGGGAGATGAGGGAAGATGAAGTGGGAGAGGCAGGTAGGGGCCAAGTCATGGAGAGCTGAGGCAGTGGGGGCCCCTGGAGGATGTTAGCAGGGGACTGATGCACTCAGATTTGCATTTCTGAAGAACAAACCAGCTGCTGGGTGGAGAATGGATTGAGGCAAGTCTGGGAGCAGGGAGGGAACTAGTGAGCCAGTTGCTTTCATACAAGCAAGAGATGATACTGGCTTAGATTAGGAAGGTCTTGGTGGAGATGGGGAAAGTAGATTTGAGAGCCAGTAGGAGGCAGAATGTCCAGACTTGGTGATTGCTTGGGGCTGGGAGAGGGTGGAGAGACAGAGGCAGTGAGGGAGGGAACCAAGGCTGACTCACAGGTGGCTTAGGCACTTGGATGGATGGACAGAAGCCACTGGAAGGGGACCAGGCTTGTGGGGGGAAGGCCAGGAGTTGGGCTTGGACATGCCTTTGAAGTGCCTATGTGACATCCAAGTGGAGGGGTTGAGTGGACAATTGGACATTTGGGCCTGGAGTTCAGGAGAGAGAGATCTGGGCTGGAGGGGAAGACTGGGACCTCATCAGTGGTCAGATGGTGACTGAAGCCTTGAGAGGCCACAGGGTGAGAAGAGCCCTGTGGGCACCACCTTTTAAGTAAGGGACAGGCAGAGGAGGGGGACCCAGAAAATGTGGCCAAGAAGAAGTGACTTCAGATATAGAAGGCGTCTCAGGAGAGGGAGCACCCTAAATGCCAAGGAAGATGTGTTTGGAGAACAAGCAGGTGGGGGTCCACTTAGGCAGGTGCTGCTAAGATGTCACCCAAGACCAGAACTGAAGCTGTCCATTGTACTTACTGACTTCAGCCAGAATTGTCTTCGGTGGAGTGAGGGGACAGGGGCCAGAGTGTAGTGGACTGAGCCAGAGTGAGGCAGGGAAGGAAACTGGAATGAGGGTAGAGCATTCTTTTGGGTCGTCTGGCTGTGAAGGCAGTGGGGAACGTGGAGTCCAGGCACTTAGTAGGTGCACAATTTCCTGCCACCAGATAAATCTGAATGGGGAGCAGATGATAAGACAGAGTACCTCCGGGACCCTCTCCATCTAATCTTTAAAATTATTTTGTAGTAGTTGCTGTATAGAAAAGAACACATGAAACATATATGTAAGCTATGAAGCAGAACAAAATGATCATCCCAAACCCATCTCCCAGCCTAAGATCTCCAATTACTGTGCTTTTCCCCCATCCCATGTCTCCACTCACCCCCCAAGGTAGCCATTACCCTGAATTTTATGTTTATCATTACCTTGCTTTAAAAGTACTTTTATTACACATGAATGTATCCCTAAACAATATATTGTTTTGTTTTGCTTGTTTTTTGAGCTTTATAAAAATGCTATTATAAAGTATGTAGTCTTCTGCCACATTCTTTCCCACTACGTGTTGATGTGGGTCGTTGGTACCGTTTCATGTGCACTGCTGTATGTTCCACTGTAAATAGGCACAATTTGTTTCTCTGTCAATGAACACTGGGGTAGTTTCTAGTCTTCTGTCTAAGACTGTGGCAGGAGAGTAACAGGTAGCACAGAACAAGAAGGGAGAGGGGAGGTAGTGGGGCAGCGTCTCTAATGGATGGGGCCTTCATTTAAAAGCAGGAGAGGAGGCTGGTCCTAAGGTGCAGCCCTGAATCCAGAGAGGCTACACCGGGGGCTGGGCACCAGTCTTCAGGATTTCCAGGCAGGCTGGTGGAGCCCTTTGGAGGGGGATTTGGGCAGTGATCAGTTCCAGGAGGGCTGGTTGTCATCCAGAGATCTGTCCAGGATGGCCGGCTCAGCCATCAGGCAGGTGCCTTAAGGCATTAGAGAGAGTAAGTGGGCAGAACTTGGACGTAGGACCAGAGAAAACAAGTCCTGGCCCGAGCCATCAAAAGGTCAGGGCAAAGGGGACAGTGGCAACGTGGAGGCACCCAGGGGTCATCTGGGGGACTGTGGTCACATCTGTTTGACAGTAACAGCTATTCCAGGAGTGTCATGTGGGCCCGGCATGCATGGCCAAGCCACAGAGCCCTGGCATAGTGCGGGCGCAGGGTGGAGGGCCAGGGCGGCTGTTTGCTATGGACAGGCTGCATGGGGCAGCCGTCGGGATGGAACCGGGGCCCCAGCTGTGGGGACTGGAGTGCAGACAGGGGGGGAGCCACTGGTTTGGACAGATCCCGTCCACCCAATGGAACCGCAGCCCTGGGCCGTTTTCCATTGCCTGACCGCGCTAAATGCTTCCAGGCCTGGGGTCAGGGGAGGAGCCCAGGGCCCGGAGTAAAGCCCCAGGGGGAACTCCTCGCCTTCCAGCTGTGTGACCTGGGGCAAGTTTCTTCACGGCCCTGAGCCTCCATTTCTTTCTCTCTGAATCACCTACACTCACTTCCCTACCTGCCTTCCGAGGAGTACTGTGAAGTGATGCAGGTGAAATACTTTGACAAGCCATAAAGTGATAGATAAGTGATATTTGTTTTACCATACATTTCAGATTCACAGTGATTGAGGAAAGATTATTCTTTTCTCCTTAGAGTCTTCTCTTGCTTTCTTTATTCTTATCATTTGTTAAAACACTTGTTAGTTTGGATCTCAAACACTTGAACTAGTTTGGAGCCCAAAGATTTAGGGTCAATGCATCGTTCTGCCATTGACTTGCTGTGTGATCTTGCATAAGTCACTTAACTTCTCTGTGCCTCAGTTTCCTCACCCACCTCACAGAGTTGTTGTCCAACTCACCTGAGCCAAAGATTATGAAGGGCTTTGCAAACTACGGTGTTCTGTGCATGTATAATAAATTATCTCTGCTTTGAAACCCCTTTTGCTTGTAGCCTGGGCCTGGCCCAGATTGCATTCCAGAACATAAACCCTAGCCAACAAAATTACATTTATCTTAAACATGTGACTGTGACCCCTTTCCAATCATAGCCACAATAACTACTTGGGAAATTGTGATGGCCCAGAGCAGCTGCTGGCGCGGCTCAGGCTGTGGGCAGGTTTCCTGTAATCTGTTGCCTAGGAACGTGGCTGCCCTGTCATTCGGCCTGTCCCCCTGTCATTGCTCAGGCAGCCCCCAGCAACATATCCTCCTGTCAGTCTTCTTGAGGGCAGCAGTGTGACTCTGGCTTAAACAGCGAGGGCCATCTGTGTAGATGATTCATGTGGCAGAAATACACACACAGAGGAAAGGTCTCCAGCTCAGCTTTCCAGAACATTCTTTCCCAATTCCACTGCTTGGTCTCTATCTTCCTCTATCTCTGTGTCTAATTCTCTCCTTGGCCATGATCCTTCCCCTTAGATGTCTGGAGGAGACACCTTCCCTACATCCTAAGGTGCTTCTCCTCTCTTTCCTTTGTTCTTTTGACCTCCTCCTTCCCCTCAGCCCCAGACACCCCACAGGAAGGAGGCGAAGAAGCAATCCAGTGATCACACAGGGGCTTGGTTTGAGCTAACCCCAGCTCCTCCGTCCAGCACTCTAGCTGTGAGTGTGGCAAGTTAACCTTTCTCTGCCTCAGTTTCCTTATCTGCAAACAGAGATAATACTTGTGTCTACCTCACAGAGTTGTTGTGAGATCCCATGAGAGAAAGCCATGTGGAACGTTTGGCACAGTACCTAGTACACAGTAATCACTGACTAAATGACAGATTTTATTATTATTACATCGTTTGGTATCTGTAACAACAGTTCTGAAACTTGTCTATGAAGAAGTGTCTTGAAGTTATAGGAAACCATGAAATTTTCACATTTTAAACTTAATGGAACACTGGTGTTCCAAGGAGCGTAGTTTGAGAACCGAGTCCTTAGCTTGGTATAGGTTGCCTCCCAGCCTGGCCCCAGCCCAGCTTCCCTGTATCCTCCCTGAGCCCTGCAGGCCTGCCAAACAGAGCCGACTTCTGTCTCTTGGACATAACTTGTGCTTTCCCAGTTCTGCCCATTTGTTCTCTTCTGTTTTGGCCTGGCATGCTGTCTCCTATTCTCACTTTTTTGAAATTCAATGCCTTCCAACAGAGTGCTGCTCAAATCCTACCTTCTCTTTAAAGCCATCCTTGACTGCTTCTGATAGTTAAACTTTTTTCTTCCCTTGGACACATTCCTGGGGCACCCACTGAGACAAACCCTGAGCTAGTTGAGGGGCAGGTGGTTATGGATAAGACACATTTCCTGCCACTGAGAGGTGCACAGCTTAGTGAGGAAGATGACACATGAGAATCACAATTCCTTGTAATAAATGCTGTAA